TTTTGAAAAAAAAACTTTTTATCAAACTGCGCACTGTTAAATGTACGTAATTTTAAGAAATACAACAACGTGATATTTATTAAGATACAGAACTGTAAAGACAAAATTTTTTTGAAAAACGATCAAAAGCATGTTAAAGTATAAGTTTCAAGCTTTAAAATGTTTTTTTATTTTTTTGTCTGCGATGATTTTTTACCGAGTTACGGTGATCTGAATATTATATAATTTTAAGATATATATCCGAAAACTTTTTGACGGCAGTGTACATCCTACAAATAAAACTCTTATTATATTCTTCTTTACAGAAATTAAACAATTTGCAAAAGTAAACTTATAATCGAAGTTAAGTTTGTAAAAGTATTTTTTATTATCTGTATATAATATTTTGCCATCAATCTACATAAAACACTTCATCCAAATATCATCCCTTAAGATGATAATGTTCTCTGACTATCCTTAAGATATGCCTTGGGGATATGTCTGTTCGGTATAGGAAATTAATTACAATTTTTTTAAGCTATATTATTAGATATATACTATTATACACTGACATAACAAATATAATATGTGTGATATTACCATTATGTTACACAATGCAAAAAAAATGTATACATTTGTATAAAAACAATAAAACATAAAGGTTATGCGTTTCGCGGGTTTCCTCCGTGTCCAGATCCATTCTTGAGATGCCAACGTTTCGTGAACCTTGCAGTCCACTTCATCAGGGCGAGGAGCAGCCTGATACTGAACTGTTCCTCCAGGCCGTTCCTTTTTATATTACGCTGCTTGTTAGAGTGGTGGAGAGGGAAAAGCCATATACTCCCCGATATACAATTTATCGCGCTTCCTAGCACGAACACTACAATCCCTCACTGGAAAAACCGAATCACACATAACCAACTCAACGGACTTCATACAAAAGATTCAAAAAATCCGACTACGTCCCATAGACCTGCTTGTTAGTTTCGACGTAGAATCCCTTTTCACACAAGTCCCAATAAAAGACACATTAAAATTTAAATATAATAAAGGCCTCACATAAAGTCCCTCCCAACCTCATCCCGCTAATAGAGCACTGTCCAGATAGCACTGGACATCCCAAGGATGTCCATTTTAAGTCCAAATCACGTCTGCACGTCCATGGACATAAAATGGACATCCTTGGGACGTCCGTCATACGGATGTCCTATTCAAAACATCCTATGGATGTCCGAATTTGGATTTTACTTTTACTAAATGTTTTTCTTTATATTTTTATTATATTCGTATTATTTACCGAACCAAGAACCAACAAGTATTGAATAACATACTTTTTATATATCTTATATAATATCATATTAATAATATTACTCAAATAAAATTAGATAATTCAAAAAAATTGTAATTTTTATTTTTATGAAATACCCAATACTTTTAAATATTTTTAATCAAATTTAAAATTAAAGACACACTTATTGCAATTTTACCGAACCAAGAACCAACAAGTATTGAATAACATACTTTTTATATATCTTATATAATATCATATTAATAATATTACTCAAATAAAATTAAATAATTCAAAAAAATTGTAATTTTTATTTTTATGAAATACCCAATACTTTTAAATATTTTTAATCAAATTTAAAATTAAAGACACACTCATTGCAATATTGGTGGACTAACTCACATTTGGTGAAAGCGGAGAATATAAATAAGACAGTCAGAGGATGGTATAGCATATATTCCAATAAACACGTATTATCATATAATACGTGATTACTAATATTGCAGCAAGGTCTTCAACTGAAAAAGATGTCCAAAATTAGTCCATAACACGTCCATAATAGGTCCAAAATTGGATGTGTGCGGACATCCTATGGACGTACAAAGTTGTGACAAATGTACATCCATGGACGTCCATAGGACGTTCGACAGACATAATTTGGACTTCCTATGGACATCCCAATGTCCAGAAACGGATGTCTAATGGACGAACAATGGACGTCCTTATGCTATCTGGGTGCTTAACAACCACTTACACACACACATACACACACACTAGTCCTATGACAACCAATTTTATGAACAAACTTCAGGAGCAGCGAAGTGGGCTCTCCTATTTCTCCTGTAATCGCCAACATCTTCATGGAACATTTTGAGAAAGAGGCCGTCAGAAAAACACCCAAAAAACCAGAAGTTCGATTCCGTTATGTAGACGACACATTCGTGGTACGGAGACACAGCAGAGCCGAACTACGTAAATTCCTTGTTTCCTCAATAAACAACATCCAAATATTCACTTCACTATAGACATAGAGGAAAACGGAAAACTCCCTTTCCTAGATGTTCTTGTTTCTAAGAAAGTTCAACATCTTCATGGAACATTTTGAGAAAGAGGCCGTCAGAAAAACACCCAAAAAACCAGAAGTTTGATTCCGTTATGTAGACGACACATTCGTGGTACGGAGACACAACAGAGCCGAACTACGTAAATTCCTTGTTTCCTCAATAAACAACATCCAAATATTCACTTCACTATAGACATAGAGGAAAACGGAAAACTACCTTTCCTAGATGTTCTTGTTTCTAAGAAAGCTGACGGTACCTTAAGCCATCAAGTGTACAGAAAACCAACACACACAGACAGATATCTACATGCTGAGTGGCACCACCAACCAGCACAAAAACAGTCAGCAATCAACACACTAGTATATAGAGTTTTCACCTTTGTTTCCTCAATAAACAACATCCAAATATTCACTTCACTATAGACATAGAGGAAAACGGAAAACTACCTTTCCTAGATGTTCTTGTTTCTAAGAAAGCTGACGGTACCTTAAGCCATCAAGTGTACAGAAAACCAACACACACAGACAGATATCTACATGCTGAGTCGCACCACCAACCAGCACTACTTTTTCCCATCTTTCGGGCAGCGTACGAATCCCGCGTCGAAAAAACTGGTCATCTTTTGAGGCTCCGAACTATCTTCAAACCACCCAAAAAGATAGGACAAATCTTAAGAAATCCTAAAGATCAAAGACCTCCACTCAGTTCCGCAGGAGTATACAAAATACCTTGTTCCTGTAAGAAAGTGTACATTGGAGAAACCAGGAGAATGGTCAATCTACGGATCAAAGAACACTAACGTGATATCAGACTAAAACACACCACGCAGTCGGCATTGTCAGAACACAATATCGAAACAGGACATCAAATACTATTTGAAAAAACAACCACAATAGCCAACAGTACATCATACTTTCCAAGAAAGTATAGAGAAGCCATAGAGATACATAAACACCCTAACAATTTAAATAGAAATAATGGCTACAACATAAATAAAATATGGAAGACCATTCTCTCGGTTATTGAAGACCGACCAATTCCACCACCTCTTTCTCCAACAACCTCTTCCCCCTCTCCGCCCACCCCAACAAGCAGCGTAATATAAAAAGGAACGGCCTGGAGGAACAGCTCAGTATCAGGCTGCTCCTCGCCCTGATGAAGTGGACTGCGAGGGTCACGAAATGTTGGCATCTCAAGAATGGATCTGGAGAAACCCGCGAAACGCATAACCTTTATACAGAAAGCACCCGTGGAAGCCTCAAGAATATTAACAATAAAACATATTATTGTAAAAAAAATTTCCGTCTAATATAAATACATATTTTTCACAATTACAATTAAAAATACAAATTCTAAAAATACACAACTTTATAAACAAATATAAATAACAAAAAGGGGCTCTACGAACCAGATTTTTATATATTTAAATTCTTAAAACATACGTTTCGACCTTATTATTAGGTCATCCTCAGTGTATACACGTAGAGAACGCAAATTTAACAAAATTAATAAAACGGTTAGATACAATTTCTACAATTTCTACAGATTATAGTTACGCAAAATGTTGGTAGTATTCCTTCATATCTATTTTCTGTCGCAATAATGTAATGCTTTCAGTCTTGTAATATTCTCAGTTATATTCTTCCATTATAGGGTAAGACCGCCCAAAAGTGCGCACTTTTTCTTTGAGAAGTTACTATGTAACTTGTACAAGGACCCAAGTCTGTACAGTAAAGTGATGCTTAAATTATTCCTTACACTTCAAATTAAAAATTTGTCAAGTATCAATTTAATACTCTATCACTTTTACAGGTGATTAATTTTACTAAGAAGGGAAAAATGCGAACTCTTGAGCTAATGTCTTCCCAAGAGTTCGCATTAGTTCGCACAAGAGTTCGCACTATGAAAAAAATGTGGCTTATTAGAAAATAATGTTAATTAAAGTAAAAATAGCATTTATTTTTCATTAAACAAATATGTTTTTAAGTACTTGAGTGTATTTTTACATACAGAGTTCACATAAGTAAGTTTTTGATCGACAGTCGATCCTAACGCAATCGACATGGGCCCAGAGCCAACAGTTCTGTCGCTGGATCCAATTTTCACCGAATTTATAACTTGAATAGAGACCGTTACAAAATATGTTATTCATGATCTCGATGTCTGTCAGTACTGCTCATGGGTAAACTTTTGAAATGTTCTCAAATGCAAACTCTTGAGTCATCTCGTGTCACTTTTTACTTTTAATATAAATATATAAAAATTATTATAGATATTAAGTAAATATATCACTAAATATGAAGCAGAGACATGCATGCACATAATATAAATAGTACAGATTCACAAAGCAACAAATTG